GAAGATGGGGTGGGGTTAGATCGCCTTCTCTCGACGAATGCGACTTGAAACTTGCGAGACTTTTTTTATATTCGCCTTTTCGAGGAAATAACAAAATCATTCGCGACCGATCAGCTGATTTTGACAGATCACTTTCTCCCCGCTCGATGACAGATGGGATGGGTTAGATCGCGAGTCTCGATGATGCGACTTGAAATGTGACTTTTTTTTTATATTTCGCTTTTCGAGGAAAAAAAAATTAATTCGCGATCGATCAGCTGATTTTGACAGGTCACTCTTTTGCCCGCTCGATTCGATTTTCTTTTATCGATCTCTGGTGCTTACGTGGAATAAGGCACTTGAATTTCGAGTTAGATATATCTTTATATCGATATATAATGTTTGTGTGAAAATTATCTTTTTTATTCGGAATATTTTTTTAGCAGTTTTTCGCTTTCGAAATTTAAATTAATTTATTCTCAAATCTCGTTTTATGAGTTGTTTTCTTCGTAAAATTATTAAAATCTCTGTGAATAATATATTTAAATATATATACTTGATTAAAAAATGAAAATTGTGAATTTTCTTAATGATTTTAAGAAATAAAATCGAAAATTATTCATTTTTTATTTTTTAAAATTTCTAATTTATTATATCTCATATAAGATCGAAACTCCAAAATTATGAATAAAATTACATAAGAGATATAACATTGTTTTTTAAAACCTATATACTCAAAATGCGATATGCGTTAAACAAATAATTAAGATCGGTTACGATGAGTTAGCGCGATATGTTTCAAAGCTTTCGCGTTATTTAAAGCACGTGTTTTTAAACGTTTAAATCGCGCAGTGAGAAATTTGTTGAAAACTATAGCGAAAAAGAGAAAATCTGTAAATATAAAAACGTGCGAAAAATATAGGATCGATAACCTTGCGTTCTTACACATTGATCTTGTTGATGTTTTGATTTATACTACGGGTTTATAGTTGACGTTGAGCTCGCGTTGCTAATAAAAATGAAAGCACACATCAAAACAGTTGGTGGAAGGGCGGAGACGTGACGCGCGTTAAGAAAGCGAGAGGAAACTAAAGTGAGAGAGAGAGATAGAGATAAAATGGCGAGATCGGCCGAGTGATACGGCGGAAGGAGAAAAAGAGACGACGACAGGCAATAATAATAATATTGTCAGTAAAGACCGCGACGTCACAAACTCAGTCATGTCACTATATAGCATGTCTCTTAGATCGCCGATTTCTTTCGCTTTTTTAAATTATATATAATAATTATGATTATATAATAATTGTATAATACTCTAATTATAACAATTATATAATCAAAGAATATAATTATTGTTATATAATAACTGTATAATAATAATTCAAATATATGATAAATAAAATGTAATAATTTTTATGTAATAAAATTTAGTTGAAATTATATATATAATTGTTACAATAATTATATTATTATATATAATGATTATTAATAAATTATTATTGTAAACATATCTCTTTCATTCTTTAAATTTATCTATCTATTTTTCTTTTCATTTTTTTTTCTCTATCAATTCAGAATTTTAAAAATTTGCTCTTCCTTTGAATAAATACCGAAATTTATTTGCAAATTTAAAAATTGAAAATAACAAAATAAAAATTAAATTTAACAAAGTTATGAAAGAATAAAAAACAAAAAAAATTTAATCCTGGAAAAATTCTGCGGACGCCCATAATAGTGATATATTATTATGATTATTATAATGTGTCGTCGCGGAAACATTAACTTGTATGTCTCTCTATCTCGCTGCTTATATCTTTTTTATGTTTTCAGCTGACTATTTAATAAAATTATTTCCGCATAGGGCGGGAACATAAATGTATATGTTGCGAGTCGAGAAAGTAGAATAAAATAATAACGTAGATGCAAACCGGTTTTGCAATTCTTATTTTACTCGTCGCTCTTTATGGATGCAAAAATAAAAAGAACGAATTATAATAAAGGAGAAAAATAAAGAATAAACGTACCTCGATTGAGCAAAAAGAGGGACAACGTCGATTCGCTTTACATCGACACAGTAAAAAAATCACCGTGACACTCTTTTATTTATACATCTTCATCTATATGTATATTGATCGATCGATCGATCGATTTAGATCCGCTCGTAATATCTTAATCGATAAATTAAAAAGATTCCCAATTCGGATAAAATTAAAGTTCATTGCACGTGTTATATATTATTCGAATATCTTAATTGATAAATTAAAAAGATTCCCGATTCGGATAAAATTAAAGTTTATTTACATTATTCGAATATCTTAATCGATCAATTAAAAAGGTTCCCAATTCCAATAAAATTATAATTCATTGCACGTGTTATATATTATTTTGATACAATTCGAAAATTTTCTGATTATTAAAAATTATTGTGTGTTATTAGACTGCAATAATATTATATAGCGAAAGAATGCCGAAGATAATTAAGGATTAATTAATCTCATTTACGTTCCTTGATTTTCTGGGACGCTGTGATGAAAGATTAGCATGGATTTTTATCAAAAATGAACAATGAACTTCGCGCATAATATAATTTTTCGATACAATAAATCATTTCTCTCTTCAGACTTGTAGATTGCGCGTATCAAGTGAAAGAATCTTAAAACTTTATATTTAAATCGATATTTGCATCTACTTGCTCTTGATAATCGGCGGTGCTGATACGGATTTAATATTGTATTTGTGATTTTTTCATATATATTTGTGTTTATATTTATCTGTTTTTTTTTCTTCGTATAGCTGGATATCGTAATTGAAATTTATTTGTTATGTCATAAACACGATTGTGATATAAGAAATAATAAATAACACAGATTTACATCTTGCCAAAATCTTATCAATCTGAATATATATATTTTATTAAAATATTTCATTTTTTATCTATTATATAAAATATATAAAATATTCCAGATAGCAAACGTACGTCATTTTGCGACGTCGAATGACATCAGTTTGCTACTTGGGATATATTATTAAAAACATTATATTATTTTTTATTTCTTAAAATATTTTTTTAAAATTTATTTATTAAAATATTTTATTAAAATTTTATATTCAGAAGAAATAGCCGCGATATATGTAAACTACAACTTTTTTTCTAAAAAAATGCATCTAAATCTTACATCTCTTTGTAAAAAGACATAAAGGAGTGCATACACAGCTTATTCTCTCACCTTCCAATCTCCCTCTCTTCTCTTCATCTTAGAATGGAGAGTTTGATTTCTTGAAACGCCCGCGTTTCCCTCTCTTTCTCTCTTCTAGATGACTCTATTCTTTCTCTCTCCATCTTAAGGAAAAGAACTGACAACAAAGACGATCGAGCGTAATGATACCGAATTATGCCTGTCCTAATCGCATGAGAACTAGAACCGCATTAGAGCTAGAAATTAGAAAGAGAGCGCGCTGGGTCGAGGCCGATGAAATAATTCCTCAACATCGGGTTTGCATTCCAAACTATCGTAACCCTGGCACGATCCACATTTGACTTCTCTTGTAGTACCACGAGAGACGCGATTTGCCGATATCGCTTTTGTACCTCATATTTTCCTCGAAAAAAAAAGAAAAAAAAGAAAAAATTGTATAGCGGCACGAGAGATATCTGAGAATTTCTCGCCTTTTTCAACCTCGTTAAAAGAGAATCTCCTTTAGATCCTCCTAAAAAATGTGATGATAATGTCTAATAACAAAGTACCTTTTTTAGAAACTTCGCGCGTCTTATAATTCGCAGACAATAGAAATCGTATATCTGTATATGGTGAGAATTAAACGGTGCACGCAAGCGTGCGTATAATTTTATTACTCTCGCAACTTGAATCAAACGATATATATGTATATATATATAACTTTTATATAGCTACGCAATCGATCTTCTTATACATGTATTATACGAGAAAAAGTGACATACCTTTTTCCGTCACGCGTTGCGCGAGAATGTTATTTTATAATAACGCGTTTCTGTATAATACATATGCCTTATATATATATAGAAAGAGAGAGATAGCGACTCTCTTATAATTATATCTGTTCTATAAATACGTGCAAACATTCGTATATATACTTTCGAAAGTTTCAATTGTACAACATAACAATCGCAATTTTTTCTCACTCTGTTATCGAGTCGACTCGATGACCTGATAGGTCTCTATCTCGACTCAAAGTTTACGTTTGGATTTTTTCACGATATGTTTTTCTCTCTAATTGCGTAAACAAATGCAACAACAAATTATCGAGCTACGTTTTAATTAATTTTTTTATATATTAAATGTGTAAGTAAATTCTACGCTTAATTTATAGCTGATTCCAAGGGAAGGGATTTTCCTCCTAGATGTTTATGAATATATATATATATATATATATATATATATATATATATACATATTTTACGAGTCGCGTGTTTTCGCAATGTTTCGGATAAGCAACATTAACATTGAAACACATTTTTCGGATATCAATAGAACGAAATCCCACGCATCGAAATGTATATATTCAAAGGCGGCTCAAATCTTGGCACAGTTTCAACGCGTTGCACGCAATTTGCATCTCTCATCGCGTCGCGTTTTATTTTTGAACTCATCTCCAGCGCGATATCGCCCTCGCATCCTTAAATGGCGACTGTCGAAGAATGGAAGACAAAAATTTAATTATCCAAACAAAATTATTAGAAAATTAATTCGGTCAAAATTCAATTGATTTTTGAACATTTTCGATTTGTTTTCAATGAACGAAAACTAATTTTTATTTAGAATTTTTATATAGAAAACAAATCAATTTAATCAATTAAATTAAAACCTCAAATAGCGAAAAATGGCGGAAGAAAAATTAAATCATCTATAACAAAAAGTAACTTGATTAAAATTTAATTGACTTGATTAAAATTCTGGAAAAGGGAAGGAAATCTCTATTTATCTCCGATGGATAAAACTAATAATAATTTTATTTGGAATCCTTTAGAGAACAATCAAAACGCGCATCTGTCATTGATCAATTAAATAACAATTCGAGTGCTTTGAAACTACACATATCTGTCATCGACATTGTACATTTTTCGAGACATGAAAACATCAAAGATTTGATTTGATTTAACGAGATAGTACATATCTCGTTTAATTATAAAAATTCATTTATCATATTGTACGAGTATTATCTTTATCTGCTAAGAGACGCACTCCTTTTCTCTCTCTTTCTACCTTTCTATCTTTCGATTAACTAAGATATAGGCCTTATTATGAGATGACACGTTTGCTATCTTGATGATACAGTGGCTATTTTACGAAGTAAAATGAAAAGGCGGATCAGTAAATCTGGTAGCTACCTATCATTTAATTACAAAAGTAAAATAAAATATATATATATATATAGATATATACGCATATTTATGTACATACACATATAGAAAAGTGTGCGATTTTTAGCTCTAAAACGTGGAAGAGAAGATGTGTATATAGTAAAAGCAACTGCGCCGAGAATTTTTAATTTACTTTCCGAGAAGAATTTTACGGGTAGCACCGATGCTTTGGCCGGCTTGAGTCGCGCCCTTATTGGAACCAGCTTGAAGTCCGATCACCGACTCGCCAGCCCTCAATTGTTCCTCCGTAAACTCACGTTTGCACTCATCCGCGGGTTTCGGTCCCAGATAAGGTCCTTGCCATTCGGGATGCTTGTACGTCTGAAGCGAACGAAAACGGTCCATTAAAATTTCTTATAAAATTGGAATTAGTACAATAAAATTGACAATAATCATGGAACCCTACCGTTCGGCCAAGAGCGAACAGGGTCGTCACCACTTGCGCGATGTCCTTCTTTTCCCACAGGTCCACAGTTTGGAAAACGTCCACGTCATCCACCCCATAATCCTTTAGAGCCTTTTGGAACCTGGACAGCGCAACGATATTGTTGGTCGCCTCTTTAAAAAATACAGACAATCGCCGAGTGTTACTCACAGATTGATATTCTCCATCATCTTGAATTGTCCGCCGGTGGTATTGATCTTCGGTACCGATCCAGGGGAGATTTTGTTCATCAAGTGGCAGAGGACCTGGCCGTCCTTCAGCACCTCCTCGAAGGTCTCACCAGGGGGAAACTTCTTGCCAATGATCGACTCGATCCATTCCTGCGCCTCCTTCTCTTGCTCCGGATTGCGTTTTGATGCAATCTGCGTGCAAAGAGATGGTACTTTTTTAAATCTTTATATAACAATTAAATTGGAAAATTCACAATATTTATAGGGCAAAAAAGGAGCTAAGGCTACGCGAAAGTCTTGGAAAATCTTCTCCTTGGAATTTCCTTGGAAAAAATTAGGAGAATTCTACGGGGATCCTAGAACGTTCCGGACTTCTACACCTTTTAAGTACGTTTCATATAGAAATTTATAAATTATTTGAATTTTGTCGGATTACTTTTTGCCCAAAGGGTCACTAGTGATATGATACGGATGAAGGAATATTTGACACCACTCGCGATCGAAATATATGCATATGTATATGTACCTTAGCGCGCACTTGACGTTCTAGAGCCATGCTTACGATATTTTTGAAAAGACTGAAGTGCCGGGGCCCTCTTAGCCGCGGGCTTTTTATACTTTCGGCGTGAACCACGCAACCACCGTGGCTAAGTCGGGGGAGAAATCCGTCCAACAACGTAAGAGGGTTGTCTATAGTGTGATCCTAAGATACTCCATGAGGAGGTCCAGGTTTGCGTCGGCATAAAGACGCGCTGGAGAAAATATCTCTTCTCGTTTCTTGAATGTGCTTTAGAATCTTCGTTCGTCCATTTCTTTACTTGCTCGTTCGTCCATAAATGCGACACCTAAAATATTTTCTTTGTATTAGATATGACTTTCGAGACACCCGATATAAGCGAGCGTGATTCCACTTCGTTTCGAGATTCTAATATTAGCGGCTTATTCAGATAAACGAGAAATAGGTTTTCCGAAAATCGCAGAGAGACGCAGCTGCTGTGAAAATTGGACAGCTTAGTAATGATTACAGCATTTCTGGTAAATAAGCCGAAACAACATTCGCGCGAGTGTTCTGTCGCGAGTTGGTCGCCATCCCTTTTATTATACCGAGCCAATGTACAAAAGTAATAATTATTAAAATACACTCTGCTGTGTGAGCGTGATTTTCAATATTACTTATTTAAGAAATGCGCACATCCTGGAAGAATTTGATTTTTTTATTATTAAATCTCTTAATCAGTCACATAGAGATGTAAAAAAAAAACAGTTTAAAAAATCAATTATTTTCAATACAAAAAAATTCTATTTTATTTTCTTATAATTTTTAAAATATAATATTATTTTTCTTTATATTTTTAATTTTTTCGAAAATAATTTTCAGTAATAAAAATATATATAAAGATATCTGGAAAACATTTTTTTTCTATTTACATCTGTTTACAGCCACGATAATGTATATACTTGATAAAACAGTTTAACATGAAACTTTTTTTACTTTTCCTAACACAATAAAATACTGTATATATTTTTAGTATAAATTGTGAAACAAATAACATAAAGGAATAAAATAATTGGAGAAAATAGATGTTTTTATTACATGCGTCATTGTATAAAGCCGATCTCGAATGGATTTTTAATAAGAGACAGAAATGTTGGATCAAGGATCGTCAGGATATGTTCGAACAAAACGGCATTGTCAATCTGTTGATTACAATGGGTATACATACCAACACATAAAACGTAGTTTGTGTAGCGAGTATAGTCAATGTGTCGAGGTCCTGATGTCAGAAAGAAAAAATACGGCTGCCCTCATGGAAAGTGGGACGTGCTACTTTTAAATAGTCCTCTGTCATATGGCTCGGGTTATTATTGCGCGATCCAGATTCACGGCAGATGCCACGTGCGAGATGAAGCAGAAGACGGAGAAAATTATGGACATTCTCCTTCCTCCCTGAAAATACAAAGATCTAATCATTATATAATTTAAACAACACACTGAAGGATATTAGAAAAGTAGAAGTTTAGAGAAAAGCTATATAGAATATATAGAGAAAAAATATACTTTTTTTATTATAAGATCTAGCTGATATATTTTATAGATCAATTATATAAATAAAAAAAACTGTAATTAATACATGTAAATAATACATAAAAATGATACATCATTTTCGAAAATAGTAAAGTAGGATATTTAATGTGGACTGAGAACTTCAATATATCTATAACAAAAACAAAAAAGAAAATGGCGAAGTCTTTCATCGGCAATGACAAGATTCGTGTAATTCCACCAGGTTTCGTAATTCGAGTCGATTCAAAGAGGATCATTTATTGGCTGGATCGCGGTCCGATGAGTCACGTTTAAAATTAAAGTTCTGCGCGCTTCCAACCGTGGCTACAATCTCGTCTTTTTGTGTCGATGATGCGTGGGCGTTTTTTAAGAGGGCGATGATGATTTTCCTCCCTGTATCCGCGATGTTACCCCAAATGCGGTTGCTTGCTCATCCGATATCAATTTTGCACCGAATGTACCAGTCTACATTAAATATCTAAACTCTGACTCATAATTTGCCGGTGACAATTTTACATACATACATACATACATACATACATACATACATACATACATACATACATACATACATACATATATACACATACATACATATATATATATATATGCTTTATATTTCATTATTTTAATTCTAAAAAATGAGAAAAATGTAACACTATAATATAATATTAATCTACATCAAAATATCTGATCTCTAACTCTAATTAATTCCAAAAATAATACTACGCAATAGATAATAATAATAATAGATAATAATAATAGATGATAGCAATGATAATAAAAAAGAAATCTAGGGTTTCACCCATAGAGATGCCTTCCATTCAATACAGATTCTTTCTTATTGTTGATCGCTTGGTATAAGTACGCGGTTGACTGGAACGCGACTTGAAAAACTTCCTTCCAACTGACGTAACTTCTGCCTCTTGCTGCGAACAGGAAAAAACAAAAAAGTGAATGAGAAACGTTTCTACGTTATAATTCGTTATATTACTTCAATTTGAGTAACGACAAGTGAATGGGAGGATGAGTAAGATTATACATTAAAAACTCGCTCATTCTCACTTTCACTTATTCAGTACGTAGTCTAGTATATAGCTCTCCCATACAAGAGTCATTATCATCATTTATGTTTTATTTTTACTATATATTTTTCATTAATAATTTCTATTATATATTTATTTTTAATATTAAATGTCTGTACCTCTTTTGGAGTCTCTTTCATCGAATTCATTGGATAAATACTAATCGGTGATAACGGCTCATTTATCTTATCGTGGTCCTCAAATGTGAAAATCTTAAACATGATTTAAAAAATTGAGATAATTCGTAAACAAACATGAAAACCTATATTATTAATTTCATATTCCGCGAAATGGTGGATAATTAGCGAATATGTAACGGAAAATGACGTCAGTTTGCTGCTTGGGTAGCATTCATACTTACAGCAGGCTGAGACATTGCAAATTCATTCTTTTTCGATTCTCGGTCGACTTCATCTGCAACGCTTCCGTGGCTTCTTTTAATTTATTTTGGAAATCCTCATTACGCGACATAGTCAATTTATTATCGCTCTTCAACGTGTTGTTCTCCGCTCTTATTTTTATCAATGTCTTATTCAGCTTGGTATTTTCTTCCCTAACATTATTAATCGTCTCGTGCAGGGAATCTATCGTCTTCTTCGACTCCAATAATTGCATTTCGTAATCGCTCTTCAAGGCCGACACTTCTTCGGCATGCTTGGCTTGCGCGTTTTCATACAAAACTTGCGCGGACTGAAAGGATTAAAAAAATTATTTTACAAATTTGAATAGACTTTTTTATATGAATGTAATAATTAATGTAAACATATAGTTGAAAAATTTATGTTAAATTTAACAGATATCACATGTCCCAAATAACCCATACAGAAATTTTCGTGTTAATTTAACATAATATAGATATGTTAAAAATATTATGTTAATATTTTAACACAAAATAAATGCAAAACTTGAATTTGAAATAAATTTTGTGTAAAATTAACTTAAAAATTGATTTTATCATCCCCACTTATATTATAAAATAAAAAATCAACATTTTTTCTATAAATTTTAACAATTTTGTGTCACTAATAAAACAAAACATATTTATTATTAAAATTAAAAATAGATGCACATTGTGCATCTTTACATTTGTTTCAGTCATTTTAATAATTTAACGTTTAAGTTCACAATTAACAAAACAGCAATATGTTAAATTAATACATGAATATGTTAAATATTTAACATAAAAATTTTAACGGGATCATTTTTAACAAAAAAAACAGAATTTTCCAACTGTATAGATTTTTATATTATATAAACTTATTCGTGTGTTTTACCTTACTCATCGTATTTTCTCGTTTTAAAAGTTCTCCATTCTCCGTTTTAAGAGCCTTTAATTGTTGTTGAAGTTCCTTATTGGCAAATTTGCTGTCTTTCTTAGTCATTTCTAACGTTTTTTGCGTCTCCTTATTTTGATTCTGCGCAAGCTGCAAGTCCTCCTGCGCTTTCGAAAGCTTATTTGTGAGATCCTTAGAATAATTCATCTCAGTAGTCAATTTCTTCTCCATCCTGTTTATATCATTAATGAGTTTGCTCTCTCTTTGCTTTAGTGTGTTTAATACTGTTTCTAAATTTTGCATCTAGAAATATAATATTATATTAGTAAGAATGCTAGAATTAAAAAATTATACAAAAATAATTAATTATTTTTACTATATGTATATTATACAAAACCGATTTACCCTTTCCGTTTTTGTACGCAAGTCTTTCTCCAACATATTTTGTTTTTCTATCAATGCCTCACATTTAGTAAACGTATTGTGATTATTTGTCTGCATCATTTCGATTTGATTTCTATTATAATAAAGATACATTTAAACTTTGAATAATCTAATAATATAACAATATGATCTAATGAGATAGATATTTTTAAAAATATCAAATTTTATTATAATTTAAATATTTACTTATACGTAAAAATTTCGTCCTGAAATTTTGAAAGAAGTTCATCTTTTTGTGCGATTGTTTCTGTGATGTTAGTTTTATCTTGCTCCAGTATGTTTATTCGTGATTGTAAACTTGCGAATTCCGATAACAATTCTTGTTTTTCCTGAAATAAATATTTAAAATTGCATCTAATGAATTAATTTAAAAAATATATATATATAAATAAAATTAAATTTAAAAATTTGATTGTACATACCTTGACAAGATTTATCTTTTCTTCAGCATGTGCATTGGTCAATTTACTTTTCTGCAAATGCAATTCGCGCTCGGTATTTTCCACTTGTTTTTGTAATTTATTCTGCTCTGTCAAGACATCTTGCATCCTAAAAAAAATTATTTAATTGTTATTACGTAACCGATTATGCATAATTTATCATATTTGACTCATTATAATTTACTTCTTTTCTTGAAGTAGCAATTTGTTTTCCAATTGCGCAGCCGATTTCGCGATGTCGTAATTTTCTTTTTCAATTGTCTTCAGTCGCGATTTTAAATTTTCGTTTTCCAATGATAAGCACTGCTGTTCCTGTAAAAGAAAAATCAAAACTCTTAATAAAAATATACATATTGCATCCTATATAAAAAAAATCACGGAATTTCTTTGAAACGTTATGAGAGATAACATACTTTCAGCTTTTCTTGGGTAGACATATTCAATTGGTTCTTCTGCAATTGTAATTCGTATTGGACGTTTTCCAGTTGTTTGCATAATTTATTCTGCTCCGTCATCGTCTCTTGTAGTCTGATTCGAAAAATTATCATGATAATATGTATATCTTCGTCCATTTATACGATAAATTATTGTATATAAAAATTACCTTTTTTCTCGTAGTAGCAATTCATTTTTCAAATGCGTAACGTGATCCTCTAAATCTGTAATTAAAATTATAAAAAGTTAAAAATATAAATAAATATAAATAAAAAATTAATCGTTGTAGCAATAAAAAATTTTGCAATTACATGGAAAAAATTAGTCACTATTACCACTAAATTTTACTGTCCCTGTATTACAACCTGAAATTTATAGTTATGCCTATAAATTTTAGCTCTATAATAATTAATAGTTTAACGCAGATAATTCTGTAACTAAAAATATTAACTAAAAATTATAGCTAAAATTTAGGCATGATTAAATTTCAGATATAATATAAAGACAGTTAACATTTTGCTATATATAGTGGCACTTTTCCATGATAAGATTCAAACACAATTAACAATTTCAAACTATATAAAAGAACATGCCTTTTGATTTTGAGCTGTTTAATTGCATCTTCTTGATATCTTCCTGCTGCTTGTGAATCACCCCATCGTAAAGAGCAGACAAATTAATGCGATGCTGCTCAAAGCTGGTCAGACTCTCACTGATGTAGTTGAAATATTCTGTGATAGTCTCAATGGTTTCCCAAGTCGCGTTTAATCTGTTGAAAAAAAAAAATCAAATTGTAGAGGATATATAAACATAAGCATGTGTCTGCAAGATTTTTTCCAGGGGGGCATGATTAAAATTTGTTTTACTTTTATTTGTTCTTTCTGAATTTTAATTTGTCACTTTCATTTTTTATATTAAATATGCAAATTCTAGTATTTATTTGAAAGAATAGCAAATGTTTAATTTTTATACTAATGAAAGCTTATATCTGGAAACAAATGCAGATGATTGTGACATGTATAAATTAAAGAAATATTTGACTTGATCCGAATCTCCGCCTTGTTGCGCGTTTCCGTTTCCAAGGAGGTGGACAAAAAGGCTGCCGCTTCCTGGCTTTCCTTCAGCTTCCGCCTCAGGTCGTGAATAACACGGTCCCGCTTCTGCAGAGCCTGGTGAGTGTTTTCCTGCGTGCTCGCACTTTCCGTCACCTGTCATTTATTTCTTTTTGAAGGTTTTATTCTAAAAATTAAATCGATAAAAAAAACGAAATTTATCTACCTCCTCCGTTTGATGCGAAACCGTGTTTCCTGTGTACTTCATCCATTGCGTGATCAAGGTATCGATGAATTTGACGTTCTGCGTGTTCGTATCAGCATTCTCGGAACCTGTAAATGTTCCACGCGAAAATTATAATACAATCAAGCGGAAATTTCAGAAATTATTTACCTTCTTCCATCTTCAATGCTTCATTAAATATCGGACTTCTACATCGATCTCGTTCCACTCCAGGAAGAATATTGTTGCAAAAATGGATGTATTCACTAAAAGCAACTTCAAGTCGATCTTTTTGCTACACTTTTTTTTTATTTAAACAATGTAAATATTATAATTATAAAATTATATATATATATATATAGACATATATTTTATTATAATTTATACAGTTGTCAAAATGCAATAATATCACGTAAAACGCAATATAAATTATATTTTTCTTGAGAAAGACGAATAAAAATGTAGATATGATTAACGCGCCCAAATATCGTATTGTGGTGCCCTCTGTCGGAGAGTCGTGGAAACTTTTTGCATGACACGTTCCGAAATTTTATCCGCGAGATCAGAATGAGAGAAGAGAAGATTTGATTGGTCGATTTGACGCTACTCTGTCTCATGAATTTTACGAACTCATCTCAAACTTCAAGAAATCGAATTTGTTGGATTTTATGGTGTCCCACGCGAAATATGATTTTGAAGCAAATATTTTTGCAAATGCGACAGAGTAAAATAATTGAATAATTGCAGACTTGATAAATATATATATATATATATATAAACAGTGTTCTCTCTTTTTATCTCCAAAAATTCTGAGAGTTTTACGGTAAACACAATTTTAATACACAATATTATTATCATAAATAATAATAATTATATATAATAATATATAATTATTCAATATTATTATCATAAATTTGAAGTGTGCTGTGATAAACTCCGGGAGTAAAATCTGTCAAAGACATATCAGAAGACCAACCATGTCAGGGACATTCGAACAAATCAAGCTGCTCTATGACCAGGCATTATATTCAAACGTGATTTCTTTATCAAACTTGGTGCTTTCTCTCAGTGAGCACAATGTTGATCTTCTACCTGGTTACACAAAGTTCCATGTGTATGTCTACTATGCGGATGCTCACTTCTATCTAGGCAAGTATCGCAGAGCAGAGACTCTGTACAAGAAAGCTCTGCAGTTCCGCAAGTGCCTGCTGAAGTCCAAAGGTACGGGGAAACCCTTGTTGGATGGCCAGAAGGACCTACCATCAGATGTCAACATCAAGTACCAGATCCATTTATGCCTGGTGAAGTCGAAGAACCTGCAGGAAGCGTTGCAGGTGCTGCAGAGTATCCCAGGCAAGCAGCGGACTGCCAAAGTGAACATGGCACTTGCCAAGATGTTTCACGAACAGGGAATGGAGCGATCTGCCATTACCACATATAAGGAAGTCTTGAGGGAGTGTCCACTGGCTCTGGAAGCTACGGAGGGCCTCCTGTCCTTAGGAGTGAAAGGTGTGGAGGTCAACTCTCTGATTGTCAGCTCTGTCTCTAACTCGATGAACTTGGAATGGCTCAATACATGGATCAAGGCACATTCTCACATTCACAACAGAGAATACACTCATGCTGTGACCACGCTGAGATCATTGGACAATGTTGTTCTGCTTAGGGATAACTTCAACTTATTGACCACCATGGGAGAGTGTTATTATTATGCAGGCGATGACAAGAATGCTATGCTGTGTCTGAAGCGAGCCAGAATTATCGAGCCTGACATAACAAAAGGGTAATTACAAGCTACAAGTCATTATTTGTAAATGTTCCGTTGAATATTATTTTCTCAGAAGTATTTACTATTTGTTATTTGTTTACAGAGTGGACATCTATGCTGCGATTCTATACAAGATGCACTACATCAAAGATTTGGAACGACTAATACCAGCGATAACTGCTAACAACGAGTGCACTGGGGAAATTTATGTAGCGATGGCGTATTCCTTGTATGCTGCTAGAAAATTCAGCAGAGCGAACACCCTAACTGCTCAAGCATTGAATCTGAATTCCAACGACATAGAGGCCACCATACTGCGGGGCAACATCTTCATCGAGCAGAAAAAGTATCAGGACGCATTGTTCTTCTTCAGACACGCAGTGCAATTAAAACCCTACAGATACGAACCGCACAAAGGCTTAGTGGACTGTCTCGTCGGGATGCACAGGTTACGAGAGGCTTTGAATATCGCCGCAGCTCTTGCAAACAACTTGGACATACCGCGAGGGTCCTGACAGTGAGTTAAACTTATGAAGGAAAATCCCAAAGACGTAACAATTTTTATGCTTGCAGTTATATGCGTCCGTCTTGATGAAGGATCCTGTATCAGTGAGCAAGGCCAAAAATCTTCTCGAAAAGGCACTGTCCCAGGATGAGGTCTACTTACCCGCAGTGTACCTGCTCGCGGAAATATACGAACAAGAGATGAATCTGGAAGCGGCCATCGAATTGCTCGAGAGGCAGGTGGAGAATAATTCTACCTGCAAGCTTCATCAGACCTTGGGAGACTTGTGGGCGAGAGTGCACAACGAAGAGAAGGCTCTAGATCATTATGCCATAGCTTTGAAGTATATTTCACATTTCCAATCATTTCAACTTCGCAATAATTGATTATTATTTTGTATCTAGATGGAAGTTTATCTGTTCTTTTACTTTCAGCTTGGATCCGAGTAACAGGAGAGCTTTAGAAGGAATGCACAGGCTAGACAATTCTTCCAGTAAACTAGACTCTGCTTATTATATGACTGTCGGTGAGGAACAAGCTGATACAACTTATGATGTTGGTGATGGTCTACAAGATACAGATAATGATGAGGCACCAGAAGAGAGTGAAACCGAAGCCATTTGGTCAGATATGGACTTGGAAGCCAATAGTCAGTAGTCATCCTCGTTGTATAGAGAAAAATGATCTGAAAGTCAATTTTCTCTGATACTGCTTGATTAACAATTGACTGTAGTCAATTTCTTAAGAGAGGATCTTGAAAGAATAATTCCATAAACTAATGTTTATTGTATATTCTGCTCGATGAGCATTAAATGAGATGAGACTGATGTTTGTAATTAGATGAGCTAAATGTATAATAGAGCGAAGTGTGTAATTTTACTTTTTTTTATTTGTATAAGATAATAAGATTTGTTAAACATAATTTTCTGTTAATAAATCTCTCTTATCATTTATAGAATTAATTACTTTGAAACAAATATCCTTTCCTTCAAAAGGTGAAATGTATATAGTAAGCTCTAATTATTTTCCTCCAATTTGTTCCCTCGTAAATTGCAATTTTTATTGTTATAAATAAATATATATTGTATGTGTACTTATATAATTTAAATTTTTTTTATTTCTAATCTTTATTCTAATTTTCATAAATATTTTCTTTCTTTTCTTTATTTTAATTTCAGATCCAACACACACACAACACACATGCATTAATAGCTATATTAAAATGGGACATCCTGTATATAATGCGCATGCGTGCTCTAAAGTCGGAAATCGGAAGCTCAGTGCGAGATGTCATCTGTGATGATATGCGTCTCGTTTGATCTCTTTAGAGACTTCAGCGAGAAGAAAGAATAAACTTTACTTTAGAGAGTTTCATGCAAGAATATATATTTAATAAAAAGAAAAAAGACTATATATTCTTTTCACAAAATAATTTACAATTAAAATAAATGCAAAATGGAAGAGAGTAAAAAAATTTCGTTCAGTTTTGTGAAATCCGTGAAAAAACCGCTGCTGGACAAACCGATCCCCCAGAAGAGAAAAAAGTGGAATACATCGAATGTCTCGATGAGAGGGCGATTAAAGTGATCGGGTAAGTCGAAGAAATTCATCCATTCAACGAGAAAATCAATCATAATCTCGCGTATAACAACCTAGCCTAACCTAATCTTTATCTGTTGCTTACTAATTTTTCCGTATTATATATTTTGAATTTTCACTTTGTTATTTTATCTTCATAATTTTTAACATTTTTGTAATTTTAATAATTACACAAATAGTTCTGTGATTGCAACATGGAATATTAATGTAATAAAATTTCACTTTTGTTGCATAAAAAAGATTTCACTTTGATAAAATTAAACACGTACAATTTATAGATCATAACTTTTACAAGTAAATAATTTAAGATTTTATAAACTTAATTTTACAAATAATTTGATAGGGATTTTTATGTTTATTAGAAAATATATTTAAAATTTTCACTTTTATTTTATCTTCATAATTTTAATAATTACATAAATTATAGTTCTGTGATTACACATGGAATATTAAATATTAGGAATATTTATGTTTATTAGGAAAGAAGAAGAGAAGGACAAAACTCTTGTTATCCCATTATTGCAATCTAAAACATGGCACGATAGAATTATTAATAAAATAAATGCTGACATCTATAAACAAAAAGTAAAGAGTAAAAATGATGTATCTAATATACAACAAGCAGTTTCTAATATACAAATAAAAATAGCTAATCAAAATAAAAGTACATTAGATGAACAAGCAGCTAAGGAAATATAGAAGATCTCAAATCAGTAGAAGAAAAAGATAAACCAAATGATTTAACTTTACCCTTAATAAAGGAGCAAACTTTAAACGGCGCAGAGGAAGTAAGTAATTAAATAGTAATATTATAATTGATAATATATATTGTCATAAAATCAAATCATAGATATTGTATGTATTTCATTAATTTAATAAATTTCTTTTTCTCCACAGAGTGTATTAGAAGATTACGAGAATGTCCCAATAGAAAGCTTTGGAACAGCTATGTTGCGAGGCATGGGATGGAAGTCTGGAGAAGGGATCGGAAAAAATCCAAAGTAATTTTCCTTTTTATAGAAACTAATATATTTATTATTGCAGCATATTTTAGATACAAATCAATTATATTTTTTTCATATTATTATTTTTTGTAGACTTGTGACAACTGTTGTACCTGAAGTACGACCAGCAGGAATGGGACTTGGTGCAGATAAGATTACTCTGCAGAAACAAGGTGGAAAAATTAAAAAGGAAGAAGAAGAATTAAAATAGAAAAAGGAAGTTTATAAAAATCATGCTGGCAAGCGATCCAATACATATGGCCAAATAGAAGGTTTTGATGATGCAGGGAGATTAATTCTAAAAATGGCATTACAAGGAAATACCATTTCTGTAAATGAATGCATAGTTCAAGCAGTATCAAGGCAGAATATCTGAAAAGTTCTAAAGTTTTAAGTTAGTACTAAAGTTGGTAAATAAATTACTTTTTAGAAATTTTTAAAAAATATATATTTGTGGAAAAAAAAAATATATATATATATATAAAATATATCAGAATTTTTAATAATTTTTCATTGTAATTTAGTTAACAACTTAATAAACCATACGTTAATTATAACTATTACTACATTTCTTAGTTTTTTCTGCAGTCATATTGAATTATTGATATAAAAACTGCGGCATTATATATGAAATTCATGATTTAGTAA